AAAAAATTAGCTGCGTGTGTTGGTATGTGCCTGTAGTCCCAGCTACTTCGGAGGCTGAGGCAGGAAGATCGCATGAGCCTAGGAATTTGAGGGTTTTGTGAGCTAGGCTGATGCCTCGGCACTATAACCCAGGCAACAGAGTGAGACTCTGTCTCAAAAATAAAAAAAAAAGACAGAGTGGGGCAAAAACACCTTCACCCACTAATAACAGGTTAGTAATTTTCACTCAGTAGTATTCATTAGAATACAAACTTATTTACATAAGGCATAATATATCAAAATAATAAATGTTTCCCGAATTACGAAAAGAAAAGCTGATTTAGCTGACTTTCAACAATAACCCAAAGATAATGGAAATGTGCTTTTAGAGTTCATACACATGCATAAGAAGATAAGAACCTCAAATCCCATTTTAACTGCACTAAAAATATAATGTTTATTATTTCCTTTAAAAATTAAAAAGTCCCTTTGAACATATGAGAACTCGCTAAACAGTTTTATAAATCTGGACTAGGAGACATTAGGTTTTTGTTTTATACAAGAAATACAGGCACATCAAATTATCAGTCTAAAACGAAAAAAGGATCATAATAATGTAATTATAAATAAATAATTTTTAAATAACACTTTTCCCAACCCCTCCCCCAAATGCCAACTCATAAATTACTTTGGTAGCAAATTCAAACTTTTGCTCAGGTCAAAAGTTGCAACAAATTTCACTGTACTTTACACAAAAGAGTTTTATAAACTTAGGCAACCCCACTGTTGAAAAGGTGCCATGCATAATTTATAACTAATGACTGCACATATACACAGTATATACCTTTAAATATTAAAGTTTGTATTAGTTTTATTCTAAGTACAATTCTAGGTACCAGAGTTTAACAATAAAACTCTCAAACACTGAAATGACTCTTTGTTTTTTGCAACAACAAAAAAAAGAGACAGAGAGCGAAGCTGCTATAATCAACAGCTGCACAAACAGAAGATGTCACTAGTAGGAACAGGCTGGCAAACTTTCTCCTATAGTTACAACTCTGTATAGTTTCAAAAGTTGTTTACTGTGACTTTGGGGCCTTCCGTATCATACATCAAAATGCAGCAGCCCTGAAAAGCAATGTTAAGATCCCCAACTATTCATAAAATCAATAAAGCCCATGTAGTTAACATGTTAAGTAAGCAACAGATTCTGGCAATGTTTTAATTATTTTAGTACAGAAATCAAAGAAACATGTCTTACATAGTGGACAATAAAATATTATTTTTAAAATTTAAAAAATTAGATTACTTACTTCACACATTATTCTTCAGTTTGAATTTCTGTGTTTTAGTATCTCTACTTTTGCCAAGATCTATTTTTTAGGGATCAGACATTTATAGTAGGGAGTTGTCTCCATAAAGAAAATAAATATGCAATAAGTCTAAATTACACTGAAAAAAGTCTAATCCTTGTACTATTATTTGCTTAAGAAAAAAGCAACTATCTAATAGCAAAATTATCTTTCAGAAATTTCAGAATTTTTCAAATTAATGAAAAAACTATAATCCCAGAAACATGTCTTTGAAAAAATATTTAAACAGTTTCACACTTATTTTTAATTTTGGGTATATTAAAGCAAATGTCAATAAATAAAATACCTCTTATATGAATAATCTAGAAAACGCAAGAATTTATCAGAGCATGAAACTATAAAGACTTGTTTAAAATAATTTATTAAACAAATGCATTCAGATCATTGAGAGCCTATATAATTCAACAAATATGCATTGAGCATATGTTCCATAAAGAGCACTGTACTAGAGTGATTTGGAGAAAATGGGCAAACATTACTACAAAGCACACAGCAGAGAATGTACACTAAACTCCTCAGAGATGAAACCTCCAGAAGAATGCAAATATATTTTCCCAGATTAAGCAGTAGAAAAAAAAATGACACCCACTTAAAAAACAAAACTGAAGTTAGAACATAATGAGACACTCTCCCACAGTGAAACTCTAGAGTATGTACCACACACCCACAGGAAAAATATGACCATGGAAACCCTCCATACATTTTATGCTAAGGTAAAAATATGCTCTCTCAAAACATTAAGATATTTTATATCTCATGGCCAAAGATAAAACATCTTCTGAAGGAAAACCCTATTAATGCTTAAGAAATAACTGATGGTTATATATTGTTTTCTGATTAAAATGGCATATATTTATTAATAAAGTAAACCACTTGCCAAAACAAACTGCAGTTGTTATATGTGTAAGTTTTGCAAGACTCCAGAAATACCAAGGAGAAAAAATCAAAGTATTTAACTTAGACTGTGCCTGCTTGCTTTCTATCCAAACATTTTCCTCTTTTTCTTAAAACAAACCAAATCTAATATTGTTAAAATCTTATGGTACTTTTTTTAAAAAACAGTTTTCTAGATTTAATATTAGTTTCTGGTTTATCTAATCTATTAATTTGTTTTTATATTTATTATTTTCTCTCTTCCTTTGATGAGGTTCCCCCCCTAAGTTTTTGCTTTGTATGCTTAATTTTTATTTTCCTTTTAAACTGTTTAACAATGAAGTTATTTATGACTATGCATTTGCCTCAGAGTATAGCTTCAGCCACATCCCATAGGTTTTCATATGTGATATTTTATTATTACTTTTTCAATAATGTATCATTCTACTTTTTATTTCTTCTTTGCCCTAAAGGCTTGAAAATGTCTTTTTTAATGCCCAAATGGTATTTTCTTTAAATGAACATGTATATATTACACTTTGTTTTTGACTTTAAAAGTATTGTTTTTAAAATCTGATAAGATAGGTAATTTACTTATATCCATATATAAAGGCCAACTATAAGTATTACATAATAATAAACACTATAGTAACTTATTTAGAATACATGTAGTTTAGAGCACTGATATTTGATGTTTATAAATTATTTAAAGAAAACAATAAGCCAATTTTTCAATCTTATTGAACAGCACAGTTGCATGAAACCATATATATTCACTACATGTTTTTCTAAGAATTAAAGAGATCAATAACCTATAACTTTATAAATTCTTTTAAAAGAACTTATCTAATGCTAATGTACTAAAATTAAGCCAACATTTAAATTACTTGTGATAACACAAAAGAAATTCTGAACCTCAAGTGTTGTCACTTCTAAGCCCATTGTTTATTTCAAAAAAAAAATCTCAAAACACTGTCCTAAATTTCCTAAAAATAGAAACACTAAGCCTTATAAACAAAATGATCTCCATGATTTATTCTTCACATCCCTTTACACAAGCTTTTGTTTCTAAGGAAAAAAATGCATTATACCAAGTAATAGCTGTTCTTAAAATATCTAATTCTGGCAGTTAAAATTAAGCTACTTGTTTTGATTAAATACAGAGAATACTCTGTAAAAGAGTATGCTGAAAGAGACTATTCCTAAGATTCTCTTCTGGTTATAACATTCTTTCAAATAGTCATTACTACAATTAAGATTATCCAGTTACTGTATTCCCAGTAACTTACTTTGTAAAATTTTGATCAACATACACAAAATTTATCTTTTTTATAAAATATTTAATATATAAAAAAGAGGTAATTTGCAAGAACAGCAACAGGAATGCCTTCAACCAAAAAAAGTTAGATTTTTTTTAAGTTACACTTGTGAAATACCCCAAGGATTTAATTGGGTTAAGATGAAATGCAAAAGGTCTTCTGTATTAAGCAGTAGTTTTTAAAAATCAAACTTGTATGAACTGCTAACCAGTACAATACTATAAAGAGTAAGTTTTAATGCTGTAGGCATTTCTAGAAATTCTGAATATAAGTCAACACTGATTTAAAAGGAAAAAACAAATACTTTGTGAAGAAAAAAAACAGAAATTCAGCATAGCCATCACATTATGGTATACTGGAAATCAAGAAGTCCACAAAGTTGAGAAATCTCAGTCCCTAATCTACCATTAAGTTAATGGTTCTTAGCCTTCCTTTGAGAATATGATAAAAATAATGGAGTCTTGCCCCAGAAAAACACATATATAAAATGAAGCACACTCCTTCCAGGTCATCCATGCACCCCTGAATTAGCTGCCTAAGCATTAGCTAGGCAAAGTCACATCACTTTTCTGGATCTCTTTTCTGAGTGCATGGAGAGTGAAAGAGTTTCAAGTTATTCTCTCATTTAGGATTAAAGCTGTGGAACAGACAGAAGGTACTAGAAGAAAAAAAATCTCACCAGAAAATCCTTTTTCATGATTTTTTTCTAGGTCTCAAATTTCTACACGGTTTTAATAGGTTGTTGACTTTGGAAAGACGGCATGAAAGAGGAAGAGGCTCTCTAGTTTAAATAATTCGCTCATAGTACTGGCTGCTAAGATAATCACACACAAATAACTATGCTAAAAGTTACCGTCTAAATAGTTAATTACATTTCCTCTAGGATGAAAGGAACCTTAAGTATACATATGGTAGCATTACTGGTTACAGTTCTGGCTTCTTGGTGAAGGACCAAAATGTTGAACCCCTTCATTAGCAGGAACGCACATACAAGGAAATGATTCAAGGAAAATATCTGTCAGGCTTTGAAATCTCAAGTATTTTTGATAGATACCTTCATAAGTTTTTTTTTTTGTTTTTTTTAATTAAGTTCGATACCAGCTGCATATAGAATACTCTGGGTCACAGGAAAGCCTGGGTGTATTGGCCAAAAGGCTCCACATCATTTTTGTTTTAGTAATTACATGTACTGTTTCATAAAACTCGTTTGTGTTTTCAGAGCTATATTCACATAAAGCTTTTTTTTTTTTTAATTAAAGCTTGTGTAATATCAAATACACACAACTAGGAAGCTGTGCTTTGCCTGCTAAGAGTCGGATTTCAAAATCAAAACCAGTTCCAACTAAATATGGACATATATATACAGGAATTTGGGAAATCTTATCTCATTTAATCAGGTGCTAATTACCCATTTGTAAATTTAACTGGCAAAAATTGCTAAACTTTCTTCTGCTTTCATCTATTTGCTTAATTCATTACTGTGCAAGCCCTTCAAAGAGGGGAACAGAGAGCGAATAAACTTAGATTTGAAATTAAGTCATTTCGTAGAGATCTTAAGAGTGGTAAGCACTGGGGGGAAAAACTATTATTTTGAATATTTTTTTACATCATCATTGTCCCTGCCTCCCAGCACTTACTAATATGGACAATCAAGAAACTGATGCAATGAAAAACAAAACAGAATACTAATAGGACTACTCTGCAAACATGAAAACGGGCTCGGAAATGAACTCATGCTCCTACACCCTTAAAACATAAGCTCGATTTTTAAAAAACACTAACTACAGTTTTTGCAAAATAACTGGATAAACAAGACAAGGGGGAAACCGTGGCATTATTTCTTAAAAGGAACACCTCCCTAAAGCCACGGCAAAAACAATGCTCAACTGAACGTAGATCTAAAAGGCCCATGATCCCCCTTCATATGTAGTTATCACACATTCTCAGACGGTCTTTCTGGGTGAGAAGCCTTCAAAACGCCTCTCCACCTTGAAAACACGTTCCAGAACTGGAAGGAATGGGGGGAGGGGGGCAGATCTGCTGGAAGTTACAGGCCCTCCTCTCGGTTGAGCACGGACAACTTGGAGCCTTCTGACCCTTTTCACCCAACAGGGGAAGAGAGCCAACGGTGAGCCTCGAGACCGAGGGGTGAACAGGGCTGGAAAAGCCCCCAAGCCCAGGGCAGCAGCTGGAACAATGCAGGAGAGCGGGGTGCAGCCAGGCTCCCGGGCAAGGGGTGGGGGTGGTCCGCGACCGCAGGAACCCGAGGGCTCTGGCTGCCCGAGTGCCGCGCTCGGAGACATGGGCACGGCCAGGGAGGAAGCGGCGACCCCCAGCCCCCCAGACTGACCGGCCCTGCCCGAGCCCGCGTACCTGGTCTGTAGGGGCTCGGTCCATGGCGCCTCCAGCCGCAGCGGGCCCGCGCTAGTTGGTGTGGAAAGCGCTTCGGGCCGCTTTCTCCATGGCCCCCCGCTCGGGTCCAGATTGGGTTCCGGACCTCCGCCCCTGTCTAGCTGGTCGCGACACCGAGCTGGCTACGCCACTGGCCGAAGAGGCGGCTCCAGCTCCGGGAGATGGAGGAGGCGGTGGCAGCCTCGGGGAGGGATCATCTGGGACGGAAGCCGAGAAGAGCCGTAATAGGCGAGAGGCGTAGTCGGAAATGGAAGCGCGCAGAGCGGAAAGGAAGAGGGAGGAGGCACGGAGGGGCAGTGGGCGGAGTGACGGCGAATGGCCTGAGCAAGTGTAGGAGGAACCCAGGGTGGCCTAGAGGCTGAGGCCAGGTGGGAGTGCCCGGGAGCAGGTGCCCCGAACCACACTCCACGCCCGGACTGTTGAACTGGAGGAATATCGGGCCGCTTGGGACCCTGGACACCCAGGACCTCAGACACCTTTTCAGGATCCGAAACCACCTCTTAGTGATGTGGGAAGAGCTTGTAGCTGCCCACTGTACATATGCTCCTTCCTTATGTTACTCAAATAAAGGGAGTCATGGCTATAAAGGAATGAGAATACGATAAAAATAATGGAGTCTTGCCCCAGAAAAAAAAAAAGCATATATAAAATGCACAGACAGCATGACTGGAAAAAGCTCCGTTAGGAAGCTCCACAGATACTTTTTGATTAGTGAATTCGTTGTCAGGTCCAGGCCCACCTCTAGGCTCACCTCGCCCATCTCATGACCCCTCATTTTACCCAGGATCTGCATAATGCCACCCAACAGGTAATTATATAGGCCAGTATGTTGCTTTCCCCACTGTACTTATTGATTATTCCTTTTATCTTCAGATCATTAGCTCCTTGAAGGCAGAAACTGCCTTGAAACCAGACACTACTTTAGCATGGCAGATTCCCTCTGGGCATCTCCTCACACACACCCTCCAACACCCACACCCTCCCTGAAAAGTTCTTGCTTGCTAGTCAGCTCCTGGATGAGGAAGAAATATAAAAAGCTGTACTGTCAGCCCTCTGTATCCACGCATGCTGCATTCCAGATTCAACCAAGGGCGGATGGAAAACATTTGGGGGGAAAAAAACGACAAGAAGTAACATTACAACAATAAAATACAAATTAAAAATAATACAGTATAACAACTATTTACATAGTATTTACATTGTATTAGGTATTATAAGTAATTTAGAGATGATTTAAAATATTAATAGATAGGAGGACGTGCATAGGTTATATGCAAATATTATGCCATTTTATATAAAGGACTGGATTTTGCACTCTTGGATTTTGATATCTACAAGGGTCCCTGGAACCAACACCCCTTGCAGATACCTATGGACAACTGTATAAGCTAAATTTTATTAATACTTAAGTGAAGGAAGAAAGTACAGATGGCTGCTGTTTGGGGCACTGGTGTGGAGATCCACAGGTGGGAAAAGGAAAGAGAATATTAAGAAATTTGCGTCGTCTGCCGGGCGCTGTGGCTCACGCCTGTAATCCTAGCACTCTGGGAGGCCAAGGCGGGTGGATTGCTTGAAGTTAGGAGTTTGAAACCAGCCTGAGCAAGAGCGAGACACCATCTCTACTAACAACAGAAAGAAATTAATTGGCCAACTAATATATATAGTAAAATTATCCAGGCATGGTGGTGCATGCCTGTAGTCACAGCTACTCGGGAGGCTGAGGCAGGAGGATCGCTTGAGCCCAGGAGTTTGAGGTTGCTGTGAGCAAGGCTGACGCCACGGCACTCACTCTAGCCTGGGCAACAAAGTGAGACTCTATCTCAAAAAAAAAGAAAGAAAGAAAGAAAGAAATTTGCATTGTCCTGCTTCAGGAGCTTTCAGTAAAGACCTGAATTACCTTTTCAGTTAGTCTAGGTTATTAGTCTGGTTTTATTTGAATGAGAGACTCCAAGATGAGGCTCGTCTGGAAAGACCTTATGTTGATGTACTTACGTTGATACAGGTTGAATATCTTTAATTGGAAAATCCGAAATCCCAAATGCTCCAAAATCTGAAATGCCCTAAAATCCAAAACTTTTTTGATTACAGACTTGACACTCAAAGGAAATGTTCATTGAGCATTTCAGATTTTCCAATGGGAAATGCTCAACTAGTAAGTATAATGCAAATATTCTAAAATGTAAAAAAAAAAAAAATTGAAATCTGAAACACTTCTAGTCCCAGTCATTTCAGATACTCAACCTATACTGTATATTGGCCTGCTAAAAGGAGTTATATTGTGTCAGCAAGACTTATATCAAGGCTGGCAGTAGAAACAGTTTGTAAGGAGAAACACTTATATATAAAGATCTCTCATTTAGTTTTATTTACTAATTCTTCTTCCTCCTCAAATTTTATATATGCCTGTCTATTTAAAATGTATATGTATGTTGGAATGTTACGTACACATGCAATTAATGTAATGTTATGTCCCTAGTGTCTGTTGCATACTTAGTTGGGATTCAGTGAATGCTGAATGAATTTAGGGTTGCTCAAAAAAACTAAGTTATTTATAATATATATTATAGTTATGTAAACTAACAGATGAACATTATCCTTCACAATTGAAAGATAAAAGGAACTCTGAATTTTTGTCTCCCCACTGGTGGTCTCTAGCCATAAGATGCCCCATCTGAGTAAAAAGATAATAATAATGCAGTCATAAAAATACCACAGTACTTTGGCTTTTCTTCTGTCATCTGAGGAATGATCTAAGGAAATCTAAATATAGGAATTCCAAGGATCTTTCCACATTATAGGATTTTTATGATGATGAAATAGTTTTCATTGTGAATCTTCTATTACAAGACATCCATTTAAATTATAAGAATGTTACAGCTTCTGTGGCTGTCTAATATAAGTAAATAAATCCATTATAAGAGTAGAATCAAAACAAATGATAAGAACAAAAATATCACAATGTCCTTCTTATTTAATGTAATCCTTAAAAAGGTGCCAATAACTATTGGGAAAAAAATTAAAATCTATGAAGAAAATGAAGACATTTAAAAAATACTACATTTTACATATGATATGAATGAATTAGAATTATTTCATTCGACAATACATAGTTAATGTATTTAATGTGCCAGGTACTGTGCCAAATACTGGAGGTACTGCAGTTAATGGGACACTGTGAGAGCAGAGACCAAGTTTGTCTTCTGGGCAAGGCATACACAGAACAAGTAATTACAGGTGAGATGAGAGTCATGAAAGAGGAAGTTCAATTCTACCATGGTAGCAATGGAAGGTCAGGGTTATGACTGGTAAAGAAGTAGTAGGCAAGTTGTTTCAAGAAGAGAAAATGACATGTGTTAGGATTCTGATGAGAGATTTCAGCATTAGTACTTGAACAAGCTCATGCCTTGAGATGAGAGTTCAGGATGTGATGAATAATCCAACAGTGCAAAGGCCTCTGAGAAGTTTGGAGGGGATGAAATACAAAAACCAGGGGAGGCTGGGCACAGTGGCTCATACCTGTAATCCTAGCACTCTGGGAGGCCGAGGCTGGAGGATTGGTTGAGCTCAGGAGTTCGAGACCAGCCTGAGCAAGAGTGAGACTCGTCTCTACTAAATATAGAAAGAAATTAGCCAAACAACTAAAAATAGAAAAAATAAGCCAGACATGGTGGCGCATGCCTGTAGTCCCACCTACCCAGGAGGCTGAGGCAGGAGGATCGATTGAACCCAGGAGTTTGAGTTCAGCTGACGCCATGGCACTCTAGCCCCGGCAACAGAGTGAGATTGTCTCAAAAAAACAAAACAACAACAACAAAAAAAAAACCCAGGGGAATATCTGGGCATGGTGGCTCACACCTGTAATCTCAGCATTTTGGGTAGCTGAGGAGGGAGGATCACTTGAGGCTAGGAGTTCAAGACCAGCCTGGGCAACATAGTGAGACCCCATCTCTAAAAATAAAACATAAAAAAAAGAAGAACAAAAAAACCCAGGGGAAGCAATAGGCCTTGGAAGAAAGTAGGGACATGTTGTCTGCTATAATAGAAGAAAAGGAAGAAAAGATAGATATGGCTGCAAATCCTGTACATTTATATGCTTAGTGCTGAGAGTTGACTGAATGCCTATCTAATAGCTTCTATTTCCTCGGTGAAGTAGGAGGCAAGGTTACCTGCTGACAATGAAGGGAGGCAAAGTTGCTGCATTTGTCGAAACTCAGCAGACATATATTTAAGACTTGCACATGTCATATGTATATTTTACATCCAAAGAAAAAAAACTATAACCAAATATTGAACTCTGGTCTTAACAAAAGCATACACCTATGTAACCCAAATCTCTATCAAGACATAGAATGTTACTATTACCCCCAGTTACTTTTAAAACTTTTCTACTTATGTCAAATGCTTGTCCTATATACTATTGTATTTTCACTACCAATGCCTGGCACACAGTAGGTGTTATTAAATAAATGTAGCACCTCAATAAATATTTATTCAATAAACGAACATGTGATATATTAAACCATGATCCTTTCTTCCAGGGTTTGGGTTTTTTTAGGCATGTGCATTTTATTGAATGAGGAGGTTCAGTAAGGTAGAAGTAGAAAATTATTTTTTATTGCTCAGTCCCTTCAAAATCTCTAAAGACTATTTCTTTTCTTTTTTTTTTGAGATGAGGTCTCACTCTGTTGCCCAGGCTAGAGTGAGTGCCGTGGTGTCAGCCTAGTTCACAGCAACCTCAATCTCCTGGGCTCACATAATCCTCCTGCCTCAGCCTCTGAGTAGCTAGGATTACAGACATACACCACTATGCCTGGCTAATTTTTTCTCTATATATTTTTTAGCTGGCCAATTAATTTCTTTCTATTTTTAGTAGAGATGGGTCTCGCTTGCTCAGGCTGGTTTTGAACTCCTGATCTTGAGCTATCCTCCCGCCTCGGCCTCCCGGGGTGATAGGATTACAGGTGTGAGCCACCACGCCCTGGCCAAGACTATTTCTTTTTCTGCCCTGGATAAAACCTCATGAAGGTCACACAAACTTCATTCCAAGTTAAAGCTTTTCCTTTTCCCTAACCCATTACTGCTTCAGACTTAGTCCTGTGGCTAACCCTGTGGCTTAGTCCACTTCTGTTTTGTTTTCTACCTTTCATATCTCCATCTCCTCCACCTTAACCACTCTCTAACAGCTTTTAGATCCCTCCAGGTTTGGGTTGTGAGGGGGAAGGTGGCAGAGACTCTCCAATATTCAACTACTATGAGGCGCTTGAAGTCGTTTCAGGGCAACCACTTATGACCCTAGCCCTCAGCCCTTGGGCTTCTGAGGGTTCAGCTTGATCCCTTTGGGGAACAGCCAGGCAGTCTTCCTAGCTGGAATCCCTTTTTTTAAATGCCTTCATGCAGAATTCTCTCCCACCAAACCCTGGGGTCATTTTGCTACACTTGATTTATCCCATAACTGTCCATCCATCCCTCCCTTTATAAACCCATTAAACCATCTTATTTTTGGTGCCTGTCAAAGTAAATTGCAGACTTCAGTACACTTTCCCCTGGGAAAAATTCATGTAGCTGCAGTTGGTAAAAGTGCAGCTCGTTACCAATGTTTCTCTCAGGTCCTTGTATTCTCCCAGACTCCAGGCGACATGGATCAAGTTCTCCAAGAGTTTCCCTGAAAGCACCTCTCACATAGCTTGAGGTAAGAGAAAGCATCTCTTTTTTCTCCGTGGGAGGTGTGGGTAAGTATAAGATATCTCCAAAGAAATACTCTTCATGAGTCATTAGTCCCTTCCTCCCCCATGGACTGGATGTGAGTGGTGAGTAATGCCAAGTCACAATTTCTTAGCATTTCTCGCATGATAAAGTAACACTTGGCTTTGGGATGAAAGGGTACTTGCACCTAATCTGTCATCCTTTGGGGAACCTACTCAAAACTGACAGCATCCTTATTGAATATCACATTACTTGTTCATTTAACAAATTATTTTTGAGCACCTGTTATGTGCTAGGCACTGCTTTAGGTAGTGAGGATACAACGGTGAGCAAGACAAAGTCCCTGACTCATGGAATTTACAATTTGGGAGACAGATAATGAGCATCTGAAAAACGAAGATAATTTCAGGTAAAGATGAATGCTATGAAGGAAATAAAACATGCCAATGTCATTACTGCTGGTGGTGGATTAACCTCTGAGGTGGATTAACCTCTGAGGAGGCGATATCTGACCTGAGATTGGAGGAATACAGAAAGATAGGAGAAAGACAAAGCAAAAGCCCCAGGAATGGAAAAAATCTTAAATTGGAGGAGCAGATAGGAGAGACTAACATGAATAGTGAACGGTGGGAGGATGAGAGAAGTATGAACAATAGATGGAACTGGAAACTAGACCAAGCCAGATTGTGTAAGAACTTGTAGGCTGTGGTAAGCAGTTTGGATTTAATTTTAAGTCAAAACCATTTGCAGGATTTTGAAGAGGTGTGCTAGATTTACATTTTGTCTGAATGCTGAAATGACAAATATTAAAATTAATGTTTCTGGGATATAAAAACAAATCTAAATACTCATTTAAGAATTTACTTATGACTATTTTATGATTAAAAATGTTCATAGTGATAAAAGAAAAGCTTCAGACAAATTAAATTTAACAGAGTTTAATTGAGCAAACAACAAATAATTCATGAATCAGGCAGCCCTGTGAACCAGAATAGGTTCAGAACAACTGCAGGGCTGCCACGTGGTCGGATAATATTTATGGACGGAAAAAGGAACTTGACATACAGAAAACCGAAGTGAGGTACACAAACAGCTGGATTGGTTTACAGCTTCGCATTTGCCTTATTTGAACATGGTTTGAACAGTTGACCACCTGTGATTGGCCAAAACTCAGTGATTGGCACAAAGGTGAGTTACGGTCTGTTTACACATCCAGTTAGATTACAGTTCACTATGTACGGAGAAACACTTACCCAGATTTAAAGTATAAAAGGAGGCAGCTTTAACTTAATTTAGTAATTCCCCCGTTTTGTTCAATGTCTCAATTTTAAGAGGTTGTCGAACACTTTAGGCGTTGATGTCAAGGGTTAGAGCAGAGGGGACTCTTTTATTAGAATCTCCTATTTTCAGGAGGAAAAATAAAAAGTTCGTCTGTTTTGGGATCTATCTGCTTCCCTAAAGTTTCAATTTGATTATGTGACCCTGCCTTCTAGGTCCTTAAGTGCGGCCTTGACTGAATACAAATTTTACATGACACAAAACTTTTGTTGAAATGGGTGCAGCAGAGAAAGATGAAGCTTTTCTTGCCTTCTTTGGTGCTTAAGAAAGAACAATCTTGAAATCAGAAGGCTGCAGGTTCCCCACCCCTCTGATCTACTGGGGCCTAGTACAGGAGCTCAGTCCAGAACAAAAGACTCTCTTAATTTTGTTTAACAATTTCCCCCTTTTGGTCAGGTTCTCACCTAGGTGAGAATGTGACCAAACTTAGGGGTTAGCTCTACTCCCAGTTACCATAATTTGGGGTTTCCAGTCTCATTCATAGGTTACAGTATCCTCATGATCACACATTTCTTTGAGTTTTTGTTGTTCCAGTCAAAGAGTGACCATTTGACATTCAGCAGATGGCCTCATTCAAACATTTAAAACTTTTGAGAGGATACAGTCCACCAGAGAAATTACTATTATGAATATTAGGAGGATAATACCAAGAGTTTGGAGTATGCTCCTTAGCCAGGGTCCCGATGAACCAAACCAATTAAAATCAAATAGATCAAAGAATGAGCCACATGAAGAGTCTACTCATTTTAACCAAGCAGCCTATTTGTTAATCCTCTGTGACTGAGTCTCTATAATACCAAATGTATTTGTCCACAGTGCAAAAAGAAGTGTCACCAGTGACAAAGATTCTTCTCTGTTCAGCCAGTTAGTATCTAGAGCAATTCTATTATCTACCACAACCTTAGCGAGAGAATTGAAAGAAGTCTGTTGTGCAACCATAGCCTTTGCGGTAGAATCCGCTATAGAGCCTATCACGAGGGATAAATTGCTAATCATTATCTCATTTATATTTACTCCATGCCATGGAAAAGGGAACCTAACAATGATGCCCATTCAGAAAGATGAAGGTCTCCTGGAAATATTCTCTTTAACCTATGATGTATGTCAAGAGGAGTGGTCCAATGTTCTGTTTTTGACTGATTATGGAGCAATAAAGGTACCATTAGAATTCCTAGCCCACATTGTCACTTCATCTTCTATCCATCAAAGCATAAGATTTATGTGAAATTCTTCACAAAAGTATACTCATGGGTGCACACACGGCCCCTTTTCTAGTTTCATTGTTCACGGAGGCATAAACAAGGAAAAAAAATGAGAGGTTAGAGTCGCATGATGGCAGAGAAATTGTGATCTATGATCTTGGGAAAGTTGTCTGCATCTAGGATGCCACCTGCTTCTGGGAAGAAACTTCCCTCATTAGCTTTACTTTAAGGTTTCCAATGGATATACAGTTCCAGGAGTCTGGAGGGGCCCTTCCGAGTTGTGAGATTATTGACTCAAGGTTTGAGACCCCAAAGTTTTGCTTCTGTGTGGGTGGTGAGGGCAGTCTTTCTCTGACATTGTTTCCAGAAGACCCAATATCCGGGTTCTAGATCGTGAAGGGTTTGATTGTCCTCAGGCAGTGGGTCATGAAAAGCTTCCTTCACCTGGTGAAAATACACTTTTGCATAATGCATTGAAGCCTCACTGCATTTGGTCATATCAGTGTTTAGAAGCAAAAGATACATGAAGTTCTATTATTATGGGCATAGGCATTCCAGTGACTATTTTATGAGGGCTTAACATGTTTTCTGCTGGAAGTGAATCTGATTGTCATCAGCCTGCAAGACCTTTGACCAAGGCAATCCAGTTGATTCGGTTAGCTTTGCCTCTGTAATACCTTATTTGACTGTTTTACAACTTGTCCAGTGAAACAAGTACCTCAATCTCTGGAGATTTCTCCAGAATGCCCCATAAGGAAAACATGGTTTTACATAACCTTTTAACTACTGTTACAGCATTGGCCTGCTTGCATGGAAAAGCTTCTATACAATAAACCTAAAGTTTTGATTGTCTTCCCAGGATTATGGGTTTGACAAACTAAACATTGGGCATAAGCCATTTAAACAATTTACAAGTCATCATACCACACACACACACACACACACACACACACACACACACACACACACATTTTTTATTTGGATCATTTTATCTCCTCCATGTTGAGTTGTAGAGTACAGAGCTTTTAATAATGGAAGCTTTAAGGACTCAGGAAGGACCAGGTGGTCATCCAGTCTCTCCACGAGTTCCCACTTAACTTTGGATTTATATCCTCTTAAATACCAATTTTGTTTCTTCAGTTTTGGTCAGGGGTCCTCAAACTTTTTAAACAGGGGGCCAGTTCACTGTCCCTCAGACCGTTGGAGGGCCAGACTATAGTTTAAAAAAAAAACTATGAACAAATTCCTATGCACACTGCACATATCTTATTTTGAAGTAAAAAAACAAACAGGCAAAAACACCGGCATGTGGCCCGTGGCCATAGTTTGAGGACGCCTGGTTTAGGTGCATAGCACTGTTTATTAAATGTGTTATCATAGGTAATTTGAGTTGGACCATAGCTTATTCAAATTATATATCTTAACAATTTCAGGACTGGCTGATTTAGCATGAAAATCTGGCAAAGTATTTTCTTAGTATTCAAATAATTCTTATCTTGTCCTGCTTGGGTTAGCAGTTTTATAAACCAGTCATTCCCTTTGTTGGAGTTTTTAGAATTTTATCCAGTCCAAATGCTATGATCCTAAAGTTATCAGAAGCCTGGTATTCAATAGTGCTTGTCAGAGTCCTTTCTACTCTTTCCAAAAACCTCCTTGAAGACACAACACTTTAGGATTTTACTTGTTTCTAAAGAGCTTTCAGAAAATGCATCAGAATCAAGCAATTAACTGTGGAAACAAGACTTAAAATGATCATGGTTAAAGACACAAATGACAATGAAATTTGATTGTCGTAATAACTATAATTATAACTGGTAACATATACCAAGAAATATCAGAATTTTAGGAATCTCATGCAATTTAGGAACACATTAACAACATAACAATAAACATATAACTCAAAGAAGGTTAAACATTATTTCTTGTTTGACAGTAGTCAAACTTCAGAAGTTTGAAATCATGCAGGAATAACTTAGTACTATTGGTGTTTCTGCAGTCACAATACTGCACGTTGCATTTTAAATGAAAGTCCATTTTCAACTTAAATCAGATGAGGAACAAGATACTTTTTGGCTGGCTCTTGTAGGTAGAATACTTCTGATAGTCACCACCTGTTATTAAGCTTCCCTTCCTTTCCTATAGGAATGGACAAAGGTAAAGTTTTTCTGCTCCTCAACTCTTAGCCTTGAAGATTTGGCCAATGGAGATGAATCAATTTCACTGTAGCCCCATGGAAACTGACGGTTGTGCTATGCTTGGAGAAGATTCTTTGTGACTATTTTCAGATGCACACCTCAGATTATTACTCTCATTTAGAGTTTTAATATGTGTTAAATTTAGTAAGTGTTTATTTCTTCATGCCTTTTATTATTAATTAAATTTTAAGTACATTTGTGGCTCAAAAGGATGTAATTTTCTTCCTAAATTTACCTAACTTTTCTTGTAATTCTATTCATTTTCAATTATTTCTCTATGTAACTATTAATATTTGAAAGTGCTCAATAACTTTTTGCATAAAATCAACAACTTTCACAACTATCATTTCTGCAATTGATATTTAAACTATGAATAGCATTTCAACATAAGGAGTTACATCCAAAAGGCATACCTGTATTTGAAAGTGCATATTCACATGCCAACACTGACTCTGACTAACTGTCTTAGTCCGTTTTGCGTTGCTATCCAGGGATACCTGAGGCTGGGTAATTTATGAAGAAAAGAGGTTGATTTGGCTCACGGTTCTGCATGCTGTACAAGCAGCATGGGGGTCTGGCATCTGCTTCTGGTGAGGGCGTCTGGGGCTTCCAATCAAGGCAAATGGCAAAGGGAGAGCAGGTGTGTCGTAAAGTGAGAGAAGGAGCAAGAGACAGAGGAGAGGATGTCAGGCTCCTTTAAACAACCAGCTCTCCCGTGAACAAAGTGAGAACTCACTCATTACTTCAGGGAGGGGACCAAGCCATTCATGAGGGATCCACCCCCATGAGCCAAACACCTCCCACTCGGGCTCCACCTCCAACACTGGAGATCAGATTCCAACATGAGATTTGGAAGGGACAAATATCCAAACCATATCACTAACATCCTTTGTTCTTATAACTTGCATAGTTATGCTGATTATATATAATGATTACGCAGTGAGATCACCTGATCGGGTTGGGAGAGGGTATACCAAGTTTAGCGTTACCAGAAGGTGAAACAGAAATTTGATTAATTTGGCCTTCCAAAGGCCAAGGCTCAAAGTGAAGCTGAAAAGCAGATGTTGGCCAAATATCAAGGCCAGAACACAGTTGAGTATATATCTCATTTTTTTGCAGGAGAGTAACATGATCAAATGCCAAGAGGGTGGTAAAGGTGACAGACCATGGAATCAAAGCTGAATTACGATAGTATTAATCAAAAATTAGTAGAGGTAATACCTGCATATTTTTGGCATATAAGATAAATTCACCAAAACTCCTATGTTAATGGCAAACTGATGGGAAGAAAGGGTCCCACTGATATAGCAGTGTTATGATGGCGAGAGCACAGTAGACTAAGAGTTGACAACTTGAGATTAAATCTTAATTATGCCCATTATAGGTTGTGTGCCTTTGAAAGTCACATAAGCTTCCCTAGCCTCAGTTTCCTCTTCTGCACATTGCATAGGGTTGTTGAGAGGTTCGGGTTAAGGTAATGAATGTGAGAACACGTTGCAAGCTCTAGAAGAATGGTTCTTAACCTGGGGCACTTTTAAAACTAGGATACTCAGGCCCCTTCTTAGGCCGATTAAGTCAGAATCTCTACAGTAAATCATCTCCCAGTGAGCCGGAGTCAGCCAAAAAATCCTACATCAGATCATGTCATCCCTCTCTTCAAACTCTCCATTGGAGTTTCCCATCTTAGAGTATAGAAGCAAAAGTCCTTAGAGTGGCCATTGAGGCTGCTGTGATCAGGCTCCCCCCACTCCATGCCTCTGGCCTTATTTCCTCTTCCTCGCCTTCTCTCACTCAGCTCCAGCCACACTGGCCGCCTCCCTGTTCCCCTATCACTCTCAGCACAGCCCCACCTGGGAGCCTTGAGCCTTGTTACTTCCACTGCTGGGTACACGCCCCAGTTATCCCACATGGTCCAAGCCCTCCATTTAGGCCTTTGCTTGAACGTCACCTTTGAGTGAAGCCTTCCCTAGCTACCCTCTTTTTTTTTTTTTTTGAGACAGACTCTCGCTTTGTTGCCCAGGCTAGAGTGAGTGCCATGGTGTCAGCCTAGCTCACAGCAACCTCAAACTCCTGGGCTCAAGCAATCCTACTGCCTCAGCCTCCCGAGTAGCTGGGACTACAGGCATGCGCCACCATGCCCGGCTAATTTTATATATATATATTAGTTGGCCAATTAATTTCTTTCTATTTTTATAGTAGAGACAGGGTCTCACTCAGGCTGGTTTTGAACTCCTGACCTTGAGCAATCCGCCCGCCTCGGCCTCCCAGAGTGCTAGGATTACAAGCGTGAGCCACCGCGCCCAGCACCTAGCTACCCTCTTTAAAACAGCACACAAACACACACTCCCTCTCCCTTCCCAGCTGTTTCTCCAAAGTACTTATAACCATCTAAAATGCTGTATATTTGATTTATCTTGTTGTTTATTGACTGTTATTTTCATCTCGAAGGTAGCTCCATGAAGGCAGGGATTTGCCTATTTGTTCTGCCTGCTGCTGGGCATTCCCAGTGCTTACAACACTGCCTAGGACACAGCAGCCTCTCTGAATGTAGTTACTGTTGCTATTCCAAATGGAAGTTCAGAGCATGCACCTTACTCCGTCTAAAACCTTCACTGATGGCTCACTGCCTACCCCAGATGTATTCTGGGCTTTTCTACCTCCCTGACTTTGTTCATGCAGTTCTTTCTATGTAGCATGCCCCTCCTATATTGAAAATCATTTCTTCCATTTCCTGGGTGAAAAGGATCCCCTATCTTGTTGCGCCACATCCTGCCTTAAATTGTTTGTGTACTGTGTATAATTATTTATGTAATTATTTTCTTGCTAAGAGTGTGCAGTCCTTGAGAATAGTGTTACTCATCAATGTTTGTTGAATGAATGAATGAGTTTGCCTTCACAGTTGTCTCAGACACTCACCAGAAGAAGGCAGATAGTAACTAAATGGTAGACTTAAATGGAAAAGCCCCAGCTCCTTTGAGAATATAGGTTGCATGTAAGTAAAACAAAAACAGAAGATGATAACAGCAAAAAATGATTTGTGGATGGTCAGATCAACTACACAATAAACTGTCTTGTGACTAATCTAGGTTAGGTAAGAGTGAGTAGTAAAGGAATGAATTTATTGTATAAATGGACTCTGAGAAGCAGATAAAAAGTTAGTCATGCCATTCATTTTTACAGCAGTGAAGACTTCAGGCCATGCCATTTAAAAACAGGAAATAACTTCCCAGATTTATTATGATGTCCTTCAGATTATTTTCATGAACTATTCCAAATCTCAATCTTTCTTTAGAAGATACCATTTTAGGACAGTGAAAACAGTAAATCTTTGGTAGTTCCCCTTCATCTCGAAGTGCTATATCATTTGAAATGGAAAAACTCTCCTTCAACTCAATGGTTGTTTTACCCTGCCTTTAAAAACCTTTGTAAACAAGCTGTCTAGATTTTTCAAGTCAGTGACTCATCCACAGCTCCTCAAACCTATGTTCTTTCTGGGATGTCCCTTCTGAACCCCAGCAGGAGCTTGCTTCATCAGCAGGACTTGATTTTTGGAACCAGGAATTTATGAAACCTGAACTGTGAATGTGTAACTCTAGTTAGCCTTGGTATGTCACCAAGTTTCCCCTAAGGCTTCCAATGATAAGGAAGACATACATCACAAGTCTCAGGAAAAAAAATAAATAAAGACGCGCTAGTTAAATAACTCAGAGTAGCAGAGATAACAGCTCTGGAAAAGTTCCTGCTCCAAATACAATCAAAAGAAGCACACATTATAGATGACAGAATGTGTGTGTTTTTTTTTCTTTTCTTGAGTTTTAAGTGGTTTAGCATAAGTAATATCAGAGTGGTAAGAGTAGAATAAAAAAGAAAGAAAATTATCTACTAAATTTTCTTTCTAATTTCTGTTTACCTTTATGCACATACCTCTCTGTGACATAATTTTTAATCTGTGTGACCTGGAGGCTCTCAGTCCTGTTGTACAATGGCGTGTGTGCCCATTCCCTAGAAATGGAGTAGGAAGAACTCACTGCCCCCTGCTCTGAGGCCTGAATAAATGAGATCTGGGAGCTTGGGAAGAGCCTAATACAGACTAGAGGAATCTGATAGCTGAGGCCCATGACTCACCCTCAGGGATGCCTCACTTGCCTTGATGCATGACCCAGAGGTCCAGAAACACATCACTGACTCCAGAACAGAACAAGTTTTCCCCACAAGGCCTCAAATATCATTCCCAGCCATTTCAAAGACAGCTGGAATCTTCCTGTTGACGATTATATCAACTCCATACACCCTTACCAAGCTATCTAGGCTCTGCATTACCTGGTTCAGGGGGTAGGACAGGCGTCCTCAAACTAAGGCCTGAGGGCCAAATGCGGGTGTTTTTGCCCATTTGTTTTTTTACTTCAAAATAAGATATGTGTAGTGTGCATAGGAATTTGTTCATAGTTCTTTTTAAACGATGGTCTGGCCCTCCAATGGTCGGAGGGACAGTAAACTGGCCCCCTGTTTAAAAAGTTTGAGGACCCCTGGGGTAGAAGGTAGTATTAGATAAATATTGAGAGGAAGAAAAGTAACAAAATAAAATCCTATGATAGTGTAGGAAAAGGGCAGAAAAGGGCATTAATTCTACCATGTGGTGCTTTCATCTCAAAAGATCTATCAACACCAATTTATATAAACATCTGTTTATAAAACCCCAGCATCTTCCTCAGTCCTTCCACAATCGGAGTTGGCAAAACTCTTAAGCCCACTCCTCTAACAAACAGCAATTTGGGTTTGTTGCTTCTGACTGCCTTGCCCTGTTTCTTCACATTGACTTGCAATAGGCAAACCATTCACCAGCCTGCTGACCACAGGGTCTCTAGATTCCCAGCTAGGCCAAGCTCTAACAGGTTACAATTCGCAGGCTCTGAAAGAGAACAATAGGAACTGCAACCTCTAGCAGTCAAGAACAATGGGTAGTAGAGGCTTTTCACAATGACCTCTTACCTAGTAGTAGTAATAACAATAGCTGATGCTATGCCAGAAACAGAGCTGAGCCCTCTACAGAAAGCAGCCCATTTAATCTTCACAATTCTCTAGGTAGAAATTAGTGTCTTTTTTCCCCCAG